AACCTCAGACAAGAACCTTTTAGCGCAATATAAAACTTTGAAAGGTGCGACAAAGAGTGCAATGAGAGTGGCAATTAAGCGTCCGGAAATGTACCATCCAAACAGCAACACTCACAACTAGTGACCTCAACAACAAGGAACGTGTAACAGCAACCAGCAGTGAATCTGAAGGAACCCAACTGGTACGCGAAAGAAGAAGAGCTCATATACTACGTGTTCTTCGTGACACACAACGACCACTGAATCATGCCATCAACTCGGACAACGGTGGAGAAGAAGAAACAACAGAAAACTTGAAGAATATAGTGATGGACACGACCAAACGTTTGCAACACGCCACGCAATCATGTTCTCGTCTAAAAACAATCATTGAAACGTTGAATATGGACAACATGAAACTAAGAGAGGAAGCTGATTCCAACCATAAAGAGATGTTGGAACTTTTGGAGGAAAATACCGAGCTTCAAACCAAGAACAATGAGCTTCAAACCAAGAATAACTCTCTGCGAACCCAACTCTCCAAAGTGAAAATGATTCAATTGGAAGCCCCAAACGGTGCTTGTACCAAAAAGAAGTGACGATTTCAAAGGAGACTCCAACACTAGTAGAAGGAATGGCAACGACTCCCATGCACCAAAATCAACTCAAGTGAAGAGGAACTCATCCAGTTTCCTGGTTAATTCTTTGCATTCCAATAATATCAATCGTAACAGTCCTCAAGTACTTGGAAGGTAAACACAACACCCCACACCAAACCACCAAAAGACTCAATGTGTTAAAGAATCAAGTCACATATGCCTTAATCCAAGAAAAGTAAGGGTTGTCAAGAAAAATTGGTTTCATTCAAGGTTTCTAAACTACCTTTGAATTTAAACGAAGATGTTACCATTGAATCAGATATATATTATAATGTATTAATTGTTCACCTGTCCAGGATAGATAAAATTCGGTAGTAAAAGGGAGTTTTACTGAGGTTTGTTGTAATCAATAAAAGTGGTTGGTTGACTAATTTTTTGAATTTTCACTTTCAAAAAATTTACATTACTTGTGATATGGAACAATTATTATCAATTACTTCGAGAAAGGTGATAGAATCACTTTCTCTCAAAGAATTGAAAAGTATCTACAGCAAACTCAAGAAGGCTTTCCCAGCAGGGAAGAAGAATGATGTTGTTAATGATTTAATATCTTGCTACCCCTCTGACCAGTCCAACGAAATTACAAGTAAGAAAGAATTACTCAGAAGAATCAAGGATTTGAGAGTAGTTCCGGAACGGACAGAAGAGGAAGAGGTAGAAGAGGAAGTAGAGGAAGAAGAGGTCTCAAGTGAAGTGCTGTCAAAAAGGATTAGAGAATTAGAAGAAGAGTTAGACTTTATGCGTGATGAGGTTAAGAAAGCAAAGTCATCGGCCGAACGAGACATCAACCAAATCATGGTTGATTGACTCAACAAGGCGCGTTTTCACAAAGGATGTCTGTGATGACCAGCTACCAGCGGCCCTAGCTAATGGTCAACGAAATAGGGTTCTCGAGCTACTCAAGAGTGGGAAGAGTATTGATTTGAATCTATTTCAAATAGATTGTATGCGAATCTCTTGCCAACGAACGGTGTCTACTGTTTTTGACCGTAACTCAGTCAGGAAGAAGAAGTGGAGGAGTTTAGTTCTTGGAGCTATTTACAAGATTCTGTTGAAGAAACAGCTCAAGAATAAGGATGAAGATGAAGAGTTGCAACGGGCTATTGACTCAGTCGAGAACTCGTGCATTTGTTCTCTTGCGAGACAGAAGCACCAGCAAGCGGCAGAGATAATTAGTTCCTCTACACTCAACCCGTTGTTGAGAGAAAAACGGACCTGTTCTCTTGGGCGCTGAAAGCAGTGGGTAAGAGCGACAAAGATGCAAAGGTGTTGAAACAACAATTGAAAATCCCTACTCCAGAGAAGATGTTAGCAATATAGTATGTCTATATTGTAAGAACCAGGTCACACTAAAGAAACGTGTCGCAAAAAGATGAGGGATGATGAGAAAGCCAATAAACAACGAGGCCCTCACAGTTCTCTCTACGAATCCTTCAGTTTTTTTCCAAGATACTCACATGGAAGAAATTGCCTTCAGGAAGAAGGCTATTCATTCGATTTCCAACAAGTGGAGACAATGGGAAATGATGGGTGCCAAAAAAGAGATTGTGGGTCTTTTGAAAGATGGGGTTCCAATTATGGTCAGCAAGTATTTCATCCCTTACTATGGAAGAGTAGATATATCTCTTTGGTCGAAGGAAGAAAGAGAATTTCTAACGGAAGAGATATGTATGATGTTATCTATTGGTGCATTGGAATTCTTCCAAGGAACTCCGAAGGTGGTGGCCAAGTATCGATTGGTACCGAAGAAAGGAAAGAAGAAATTCAGATTAATTGTGGATCTTCGTCCCTAAACAAGTATTGTTTGGAGATCCCAAAGTTCAAGTACAAAACTCTGAGCAAGTGTTTGGATCACATTCGCAGTGGTGGAAAAAGTTTTGTGCTACGTTCGATTTATTATCAGGATATCACCAAGTGAAGGTGCGAGAAGAAGATCGAGACAAGATTGTGATCGAATTTATGGTCATCTTCTTTGCTTCACAGTTTGACATTTGGATGGAATGGAAGCCCATTCTTTTTCACTCAGATAGTAGACGAAGGTGTTCGATGTTAACAATAGAAGGCTATACATTGTCCAATTATTTGGACGATTTTATGGCTGTGTTATGTATCTCTTACTTAGATTCCTACAACAAGCTTGTTCGATTAAGCTAAGGCTGGATTTTTATGGATTTGTAAGAGAACCTTCAAAAGTTGTTCAAACCTTCCTTAGTCTTTTTATTATTAGGAGCATTGGTAGATCTGAATTGCATGACTCTCTCTATTCCCGAAGAGGGTGTGGAGAAAATAGTTGCTCGATGCAAAACCTCCTATCAAAAATGCACAGAGAGGAGGCCTTTTCCGCCCGAGACCTTGCCAAGTTGGCTGGCTCTGTTATGTCATATGTACACTGTTTTCAACCAGCCTTAATTGCTCTCAATCCCATTTATTCAAGAATTTTCAAGATGGTGGAGGATGGATGGGATACGCTACACCGTGTGAAAGACCACCAGTTATCGAACGCATTACAATGGATTCTTTGCAACATTCACCATTGGAACGGTCGATTATTTTTGTTTCCGTCATTGATCCACGAACTTTTTTCGGACGCCTCTTTATCCGGCTTTGGTGCTACAATGCCATTATTGAATTTTACCTTACACGGCTCTTGGTCTACTTATGGCATGGATCATATGCATATCAATGTTTTGGAAGCAAAAGCCATTTTTATTGCCATGGAAAAAATCGCTCCCCTTATTCAGGGAAAGTGTTTGAGAATTTTTTCAGACTCTCAAGTGATAGTGTTTTCTTTGCGAAAAGGTCGTTCCAAAAATTCCTTAATTCAAAGGATTGTGGAAGGTATTTGGAGAATAGTATTCCAATACGACATTCAATTAGTTGCTGTGGAATGGTTACCGTCGTCCCAAAATTCGATCGCCGATCAATTGAGCAGGTTGAAAACCACAGAAGAGATGGATTTCGGAGATTGGGAAGTAACCCCAGAGGCATTCGAAAGAGTTCAACATCAATTGCAGGTGAAAGTTCAGTTCGACCGTTTCGCCAGCAATTACAACTTCAAGGTTCCTCAATACATGGTGTGGAAGAGGACCAAGAGAGAACAGCCCGCAGATGCATTCAGTTGCTATTGGCCCAAGGAAGAGCTAAATTGGTGCTGCGTGCCGTTCAGCATTATCCAGAAGGTGCTAGAGCATTGCAAGCTTTGCCAATCTCAAATGATACTCGTTCACCCAGTATGGAAGACAAAACCCTGGTGGCCACTACTGCTGGAAGGCAAGGTTCGGTCAGTACCAATGTCTGGAATAGATTTCAGACCCTCTCGGTCAGGGAAATGCGAACCGCAAAAGAAAAGCTCTTGGCTATTAGAGGCGACCCTAATCGACTTTCGGATGACCAACTAACATCAGTTGGTGGACTAATTGAAAAGGCCGGTGCGGGTCGTGAGTCCACAAACACTACGTATGACAGTTATTGGAATCGATTTGTTAAATGGTGCGATGAGAGAAATATTGCAATACCACCCACAGAGATGGATGTTTACAATTTTCTGGTGTGTCTTTTTCTTAAATGTAGGTCCGGAAAAAATTGTAAACTGGCAATGTTTGCTATTAAGAAGCGATGTAATCAGTTCAAATGGATTGACGTGGTGGGTGAACATATTTCATCTCTAGTTGATTGCATGATCAACATGGCACCAGTTTCATACGAGATTGAACGAAACGAGTGGCGTATTATGTACATTGATATGTGGATTCTCGAAGGGTGTAACTTTGTCGACAGGAGAACTTATGTTTTTTATACGACCCTTATGATCATCGGCATCAGGTCCATGTTACGAGGATCTGAGTTGGGTAGTATTTTAACTCCAATGTGGTAGAAATTAACAAGAACAACATTAACGGAATCAGAATTGTTGTGGAAAAGTGAAGAATGATTTTAAACGAAGCAAGAAAGGAAGAGTCATCGAAATTGAGGCAACTAACTCCAGGAGATGTCCTGTCGTCTGGCTTAGGTTATGGAAAGTGTGTAACCCTCAAAAGTATTTTGTTTGGTGACGACCTTCCCTTATCCACGGCTAAATTTTCGGACATTCTTAGATTTGTAGCAACCAGCCTTAAGATTTCGGGTTCTTTTCTAGTCATTCCTTAAGAATTGGAGGAGCGTCAGAGGCAGCATTTGCTGGTTTCTCTCACACAGCAATCCAAGCTCTAGGTGATTGGTCCTCCAATGCGATAGATGCGTATTTCAGAGCTGGATTCGCATCTGACAAGAATGTATCTCGCCAGATGGGTTTTTAGCGGTATCTATCCGTTTTACCAACCATCTTTCTGTTGATTTACAACAAATTCGGTAGTAAAAGGGAGTTTTACTGAGGTTTGTTGTAATCAATAAAAGTGGTTGGTTGACTAATTTTTGAATTTTCACTTTCAAAAAATTTACATTACTTGTGATATGGAACAATTATTATCAATTACTTCGAGAAAGGTGATAGAATCACTTTCTCTCAAAGAATTGAAAAGTACCCACCCTCCTCCCAATCCACCTCTGAAATAAACAAACATAGTTGTGGCTTTCCACAACTCCCTCACCTTTGGGTGGGATGCCTCATGTCTCAACTTGGATGCCTTATTGCATTGCAATAGGATGCCTCACTTTAGTGGGATGCTCTTTGAACTGAATTCAGTCCAAAGGATGCCTTGGCCATTTGAGCTGGGATGCCTCAATACATTGGGATGCCTTATGATTTTAATCATGGGATGCCTTATTGCATCGCAATAGGATGCCTCACTTTAGTGGGATGCTCTTTGAACTGATTTCAGTCCAAAGGATGCCTCATGGTTTACCATGGGATGTTTAATCAGCGCACGCTTAATAATGTCATCCTGTATGAGACTGATGCATATGTTTGTTGCATCTATTTGTGTTGTACTCTTGCTGAATTACAGGATAGAAAAGGTAATGTAAATCTTATTTTATTCAACTATTAGACATGCGCACGCACACGCGGCGAAGAATAATAATCCGTTTTACCAACCATCTTTCTGTTGATTTACAACAAATCATGCATAA